GGAGCGAGCCGGGCGGCCCCGCGGCCCCGGACGGGACGGACCCAAAGTCCCGGCGCCTGCGCTCGGCCGGCGCCCTGCCTGCTTTCCCAGAGGCGCTCCCCCGAAATTCATTTTTATTTCTTCCGCTTTCTCCCTCTTGAAAAAATTAAAAAACGGGGTAATTCTTTGCCACTGGTTGTCAACCTCCAGAAAATACTTTGTATCCATTTAATTCTCCTTTTAAACATTTAAAGAAAGCGGATAGGAAGATAGAAGAGGCAATTCTGCTCTTAGACATCTTAGTTCTGAGAGACGAGGATATTAGGTTGAACTTTATTTTCTCCAATTGAGTCGGCCCGCTGACCCTTGGCGGCTCAGCGGGGACGGTCCTTCGGAAGGGCCGCGGCCCCCAGGCCGCCCTCGGCGCCCAGCACGCCGCCGGGAACCGAGGCCCGCGAACCGTGCATATTCCAGGGCCGGAGGACTTGACGATCTTCCATTAAGTGGCTACGCCGTGGAGCTTCTCAGCGTCACCCACCGCCAGGGACACAGTCTCCCCGCCAGGATTTTACAGTAAATTCTCTTTCAGAATAAAACACAGACTCAGTGGCAGCCCACTAACAGCTGGCCCAAGGCCCATCTTGAGAGCAAGAATTTTAAAAATCTAATGACCACATATGTGTTTATAGTTACCCAGCTTTGTTCAATATCTGTCGTGTTTGTTCTCTTTTAATATATACACACGATTCCTATACCTCAAAGGACTTAGTCCTATGGAAAAGACATCATTATATGTATTTTCATCTTAGGAAAATAGGAATTTGAGTTGAGAAATGAGAAGAAACAGTTAAAAACCTGGATGTTATGACTCCCGCTCCTATGTTAGCTGCTAGCACATGCAACATGTAAACTCCAAAGTGCTGAGGTTTACGGGGTTTTGAAAACTTGGAAACATTCAAAGGCCGGAACTATTCTAAATTTTTTTTAATAGGGGCAAATTTTCCAAAATTAATCAGTGCCCTTTTAGAATTTTATTTTCTGAAGAAAAGCTGATAGGTACAGTAAGTGGAAAACTTCCCACTGGCATGCTTTTTTTGAATTGGAACAGATTTCTTCATTGCATTGTTCCAGAAAAATAAACTCAGGCGTACCAATAAGCTGCTTTATTAGGAAGTTTGTGAAGTGGACAGGCCAGTAAGACCGGAGATTCCCCACTTTTCTGATGTTTTCTGATGTTTAGTCCCGCTTCTTTTTGTAAAACTGAGGATGACCATGGCTTGGCGGGTTCCCTCTTTTAATGGCCTAGGTGCTTGGAGAGATCAGACACAATTTGTGGTTAGGGAAATTTCTGTTCTCTCTCTAACCCCATCGATGTGCTGTGGAAATGCAATGTTTCTGTGAAGCCGTGTGGGCTTTCTTTTGTTTTTGTTTTTGTATGTGTTTTTTTGTTTGTTTGTTTTTCCTTTGCATTTGGGCCTATATATAAGAATACAATTAATGAAAACTATTTTAAGAGACCCCCTCAAAGAGATCTTGGATACATTGAAGTCTTTTCCACCCTTTTTTCACCCTCAGAACTGGATCACTGCTAGGCTTTCTCTCTGGTTTACAATGTAACTCTACTCGGCAAATACTGGATCTGGTTTTCCTTTCCGTAGTAGCACCTTCATAAGATACATTTGTTATCTACAAAGTAAACCATTAGTATTTTAGACTCGATGTGTATTTGTGCTGGTACTCTCCAGCTTATTCCTCCTCGGCCATGGAGTCCATAGACATGCTTCAGGTTTCTGTTCTTCATGAGCACGGGCGTATTTTTTTTTTTTTTTAACTTTCAAAGGGATTAAAGAAGAATTGCATGTGTCTCGGGTGCCAGGGGCTTTCATTTATCTCTACACATTAATTTTAGTTAGTACACAGAATTCCCTTAATAATAGCTGATACGATCACTATTTTGTTTCCAAAACAGAATCCTTCTGCTAAGTGCTTCCATAGTAAAATGAAGGGAAAGGTATTGCTTTTTTCCCTCAAGTGCATTCTGAATGCAAACACACGCAAGAACCAGGTAAATCACTAATCTAAGAGGCAGAATTGTATTTATTTTTCCCCCAATGGGTGCAAGGTCCTAATTGTAAATAATTGAATTTCAACACCTGCAAATAAGCGTTGTGTGCACAAGAGGCATAATGTGAACACAGAGAAATGAATTTACTCCCCATATGGGTACGTCTGCCCCCTGGCAATGCATTTCCATACTCTTTAACTCGGGGACTGAAATTTTATAAATTGACAGTTCTGCTCAGAAGACCTTTCAAACATCTTGTGTTTATGAGAATACAGGGGAATCTGCAGAATGAATTCGAGCACATGGATGAATTAAATTTGAAAACACACACACACACAGACCGAGAGGCAAACAGCTCCCAGGCTGTGGTGGCGACATCGATTTTCTGGAACTGTTAACCCGTGCACTGGGCTTTGCCTGTGCATTGCCCTGGGTAGCAGTATTGGTTTAAGAATTCCACTTTGATTAAACTACTTAAAAGAAAAGCAGCTCTGCCTAAATGGGCATAATTTAGGTTAGCTCTTTTCTGTGGTTAAATCCCTGCCCTCCCTGCTAATTAACACTATTTCTTTTTCTGTGGCGGGGCTCTCTATATTAAGTCATGAAGCCACTGACGCATGCACAGAGTTATGCTTGGGATATAATTTTGGCTAAATGTTCATTTCCCCTCTTTGCATTATCAGCAGTTTGATCCTGAAAAGTCCACCTGAGCTATGATGTTGTTTCTTTTTTGCAGAAAACATGCGTTAAACTGCCACCGAATGAAGCCTGCCCTGTTTAACGTGCTGTGTGAAATCAAGGAAAAAACAGGTAGGACTCAGATGCCGACCTTTAAGCATTTTCTTTGGCCAGCTGACTCACTGAACCAGCGATTAGGACCCATGACTTAAATATTAAAATTGCAGAATGTGAGTTCTCCCAAGATTGATCGCCTTCTATAGGGCGTCCTGGTCGCCAAGTTTCTTGGCCAGTTTTGACCCAGCATTGCTCGTTTCTTTTCCTTAACTCCATCCCGGCCTCTGAAATTGGGGCAGACGCAGAGGTTCAGAAGGAAGTTTATAGAATGATGTGCCTTTCGGGGAAAAATGTGAAAGTAAAAGTCCATTTCCTGAAGGAATATGTTTTGGCCGTATTTAAAACACTCATTTGGGGGGAGTTGTTTAAAGTTCCCTTTCCTTTTTCTCTTGCCGTTAGGCCTTAGGCGAAGCAGCCTGGCGGTTCTCGGCGCTGCTTTGGGATACCTGTGTGGGCCGCCCTCCGCACCACCACGTAGAGCCGCCTGGGCCCTGTGATTTCGTAGCGGGGCATGGCTGGGCTTGGGAGACTGTAATGCCACGAGGTCACGCTTTCTGTTGTTTTTCTATTTTCGAGACCTCATAACATGGACTGACACACTTATGACACATCCCAGGAGGGCACTGAAATTTTAAAGTCACAATTAAAAAATACCAGCCACCCATCAGAGGTGTTCTCAACCCACAGGAAAGGACATCGAGCAACATCCCCTCTCTTGTTTATTTTAATCCTTAATTTCCCAAAGTGGGTGATTCTGTGTCTGGTGAAAAGAAGGCATTGAGAAGGCAGCCTGAGAGCAGGGCGGGAGTGGAGGCCCGTGGCTACCTGAAGGTTGAGCGGCCGCAGGGCTCTCTCGGGCTGGCTGGCTGGCTGGCTGCGTGAAGCACCTGACAGCCCAGTTATTTATTTATTTTTACAACAAGGAGTGTAACAGTCAATAATTCATACCTAAACCATATAAGCAAGGGCATGACATGGATGAAAGTGACAATAAATATGATTGCATGCCCGGTTGATATACATTGATAGTTACACATAAAAAGGGGGGGCTGGGCGCACAGGGTGGCTTTCTCTTTGAGAGCTTTCTGTGTTTCTCTTTTAAAAAATAAATAGTTTCCAGATGTGACCGTGTGATGGGCTATGTAATTACTCAGGGCTTGGATTGTATGAAAAATTAGCGAGCAGCTCCTTTGTTGGGTGTGATTTGCGCGGCACAGAGCGTCCGAGACAAAGCACCTGAGAGCGGTGCTCGGACCCCCAGGTTGCCGCGAGCTGCCTGATTGCCGGGCTGTTAATTGCGTTATTTTAGCTGCAAGACACCTTTTAAGAGATTTATGGGCTGTGCATACAAATATCAAGGAGCTGTTTCAGTTTGTCATACTTTTTAGTTTTCGCTTTTCCATTAGCCTAGAGCAGGGAACCTATGTGCAAATATACATTTTTCTTGTCTTCTTTCCTTCCTCTCGTTTTCTTTCTTTCTTTTTTCTTTTTTCATGTGGATGCTTGACGACTGTGAATATTTGGTTTGGTGACATTGGTTTCTAATCTGGTCTGCATCCTGCTGATCTTGATTCATAAAATGTGGAGTCAGGACGTACAGCCATGTTGAGGACCCAGGCTCACGAGGCTCTGGTTTTGAGGACCTTGATCAGATTTTTATTGAAAGGAAGCCCATCAGGGCACTTAGCTGTATGTTGTGGCCCAAGTGTTTAATTCCAGTCTTCTGATTACACCTACTGAGGCAGTCGATCGAAGTGAGTGGGTTCCGGTGGGGCTGGGGCTGGTTCCTCATTCACGTTGGCTGAACTGCGGTGGCAGGACACAGTCGCATTGGTCAAACGATATTCCAAAGGTGTAATTTATTGTTGGAATATATATTTTGTTTTTAAATTTTTCTGTCATTTAATGACATTCATATTTAGAGATTTTTAAAAACCTAAATTAAGTGTTTGTGTGTTGCCTCTAGAAAAATATATTAAAAAATACTTTGTCAAGTGCTGTAAGTTAAAAATGGTAACCATCACTGGCCCCGTGGAAGAGGGAAATGCACACACACACACGTAGAGTTTTGGATTGATAGGGCATCCATGGGTGAAAGTTAAAAAAAAAAAAGAAAAAAGAAAAAAAGCCCCCCATTCCTTGGCCTGTGTTAGGAGGATGGGGAGGGGAGCGTCCCTGGAAGGCTGTGTTCTGTGCCAAGGTGGGAGCCCGTGTGCTGCGCGGACCCCACAGCAGCCCCCTCACCCGGCTCTGCTGACCTTCTCCCAGCCTCCCTGCCCGTCTCCCAGCCTCCCTGCCCGTCCCCCAGCCTCCCTGCCCGTCCCCCAGCCTCCCTGCCCGTCTCACTGCCTGCTTCCCTGCCCGTCTCCCTGTCTCCCCGCCTCCCTGCCGGTCTCCCTGCCTGTCTCCGAGCGCCAGTGGGTCCCAGGCACACACTGTAAAGTTGCAGGAGCGCCTTTTCCTCTGGGTCCAGAGCCGGTGGAAAGGTCACTGGGATGGCGGTCCTTCGCTGCGAGTCCCAGCCCCCTTGCATCTCAGGAGGGCTCTGAGCTCCCTTCCCCCCGGGCAGCCTGGAGGTCATGGGTCCTTGTGGGCTTTGCCGGCTTGTTTGTGCTCTCCCTTGAGGGTCTCGAGGTTCACGGTTTGGCTCACCTGGGCAGGTGGGACTCCAAGGAGCCCGAGAATTACCTTCATTTGCTGCTTTTGCCTTTGTTGCTTTTGTTAATGATTTTAGTTCGAAAACTCAGAGCTAAGTAGGAAAACTAGCTGAGATTGTCTTACCAGCCCTTTGGAAGTTTAAAGAAACACAGGCACACGACACCCAGAGCAAGCAGCAGCAGCCACGTTACGGCTGATTGATGGGTATTTGAGTCAGAAATTACCGTGGGGATATTAAAAAAAAAAAAAAAAGAATCCCTGTGTCTTCTTGCTTCAGAGTGTGGGTAAGTTTTTATTTTGATATCTTTTTGCTTCTTGAGTAAATGCTAAGAAGAAAGAAGGCCTTCAGAGTGCTGGGCAGGCGGGTCCCCGGCCCAGCAGGAGGCACCCGGCCAGACCTCCAGAGGCCTGTGTTTCAGGAGTGGCTTTTATCTCGCTCCTGGGACAGCCTTATCGATGCAGAGCTTGGGACCGAGTGGTACCGCATTTTCTTTGTTTTTAGGAGCCAGTCCCTGTCTGCTGCTGTGCGAGCTGCAGGCCGCGTTTCACCTGGAGTGTCTGTGCTGGGAGTGGGCCCAGGGGGTGATCCGGGAGAAAAATCAGACGTCGTATTTCGTAAAAAGACCTTGATTACTTTTTTAAACACTTCTCGATTTTTCTTTTTTATTTCTGTGTCAGAAATCATGTAGGTTTAAACATTAGGGAAACAAAAAATATTGTATGCCATTTACTCGGGCAGATATTTACGGAGAGCAGTGAGGAGCTGGGGTCGTGGGCAGTTTTAATTTTAGAACGTACGGCTCTATCAGGCACTTGCCAGCCAGTTTTCTGCACTGAAGTTAAATCACTGCAGGGGGTTAAAAATTATTTTGTGCTTCCTTAACTCCCTTTGTTCTCTCTCTGTTCTTTTTTCTCTGTGTTCAATGAACACTCTCATCAGAGAACTGTATTTTTTTAAATCTACTACTGTCTCTCGCTGGATCCCTCCCTCCCCTCCCGCCCGCCACTGCTGTTCAGAACAGCAGTCACTTGTGGGATGTCGGCCCCTCTCCCAGCCTTGGAGAATAACTTGCGTGTGTGCACACGTGCGTGTGTGCACAGGTGTGTGTGCTGTGCGGGTGGGGCTGTGGGAGGAAGCTGGGCATTGCGGCGGGAGGATTCTGATGGGGCGAGGCCCCGAGCACAGAGCAAGGGGGAAGTAACTTTAGACAATTGAGAGCTGCCTCTGATCTGACGCCTCGTGGAGCAGAAATAGCCACTGACTTTTCACAGAAGTTTGTTGGTAGCAGAATTCAAGTGTGTGCGTGTACGTGTGTGTGCGCGCGCGTGTAGGAGCATGTGTATGCGTGTGTGTGAGCGTGCGTGTGTGTTTCCCCCAGGGTCTGAGAGAGACAGGAGGGAGCACGTCCAAGGCAGGGAGCCCACAGCCGGCTTCACTGGGCATGGCACCCGGGCTGGGCACATGCTGGGCAGTGCAACTCGATCAGGCCGTATCCTGTTGGCCAAAGTCTGGACATGAGCCATGACGCTTGGGGTGAGCCGTGCCCCTTCTCTCCAGGCACTTTTGAGGCAAATTCTGGCCTCTGGGGGGGAGCAGGGTGCTCAGAACACTTGGGTCAGAGCTACCAGAACAGGATTTGGGGGAATTTGGTGTCACGTCTTCTAACAATAGGGGTGCCTGTGAGGATTGGAAGTGAGCGATTGAGGACGCGGGAAGACGGCTGATGAGAGCGGCGGCTTGTGACCTAGAAGTGCGGGGTGTTGGAGCTAGGAGGAGGGGGTGCGAGGGGGCTCCC